TTCTTGCTCTTTTGGCATCACATCTCTCATGGGGGCGACCAAAGAATTAGATGAACCAAAAAAAGAGATAAATCTTGAGACATCAAATTTGGCTTGCCTACTATCCCCAATTTTTTTTCTTTAGCTAAGTAGATCTTCCCACGTGTCGAACTCAAATTAGTTGAAAAGACAAAGCACTAATCCAAATGTAGAGTTAATTAGCTAAGTCATATTAAACTTGAAAAATGGTTTCATTCTAATCAGAGAATTTCTTAACGGTGTTCAATAATCAATCTAACCGACTAAGAAAAGTGCAAAAATGGTAACATATACGTAAAAGGACACGATATCATTAGCGCCAAGAACAATAAAATGATCAAAATCTAATGGTTTTATAGTATAATCAACATATTTTTACATAATCAAATCTACATGATTAAAAAAAAGAAGATAAAATCAAATATATATTTATGTAAAATTGTAATTTGTTATAACCCTAAAATAAAATAAAAAGAAACGGAAGAAATTTGTGATGGATTTGATATAAATACTCAACCATTTCACAACTATCTTTGCCTCATTAAAACCTCTCTTTTCACCATTGTCTCTCCTCTTCCTTCATTCTCCTCTCTTTTCACTCACCGGTAATGGCAAAAGTCTCTCACCGGAGCAAGAATACAATCGTCGACGACGACGAAATCGTCGATAAAACAGCGTCTGCATCCGTTGTCTTCAAAGCCAAACGCAAACGCAAGTCGCCGCCTCAAAACTCTCCTCCTCAACGCAGCTCCTCCTATAGAGGCGTCACAAGGTCCACTCTCATAAAACAAACATCACCAAACTCGAAACGACATCATTTTAGCATTTTCCATTTTTGGTAATTTCTTGATTTGTTTTTATTTTCCCGGTTTGATAGGCATAGATGGACAGGGAGATATGAAGCGCATTTGTGGGATAAGAACAGTTGGAACGAGACACAGACCAAGAAAGGAAGACAAGGTTTGTTTGTTGTGTATATATACTTACACACATATATGTATGTGTATGTGTGGTAAACAATGATTTTGTTAGTTAGTTTATGTTCTTAGATTGGATTCCGATGATGTCGGAAACTCCTGTTTCTCCGGACAGACTTCGTCCTTCGCTGTTCTTGATTTGATTTTTCTTATATTTTCTTTATTTTTGGATTTGGTGTATTTTTTATGATGGTGATGTGCAATGGATGATGAATGCTGACTCATCAAGAACAGTTTATCTAGGTGAGTTTTTATTTTATTTTATGGAAAATATTCATATCAGTTTTTATATATTAGTTTAAAAAGTAGTATATACAAAATTTAATAAAGTATTGTACTTTTTCTTTTTCTTTTTCTTTTGAATACTCATCGACAAAGTGATGAAAAAAGTCCACAATACATGTGTGATGTGGTTATAAATTAAAGAATGAATTCCACCGAAATTGGTAGAGCCGGTTTTATTTATTATTAGCTGTTCTTTTTGGGTCCAACGCAATTCGTATTTTGTCCTTTTTTCTTTCAAGTATATGTAAAATATAATTAAATTATATAATATGGTTTTATGGATAGGGGCTTATGACGAAGAAGAAGCAGCAGCACGTGCTTATGACTTAGCTGCATTGAAGTATTGGGGACGAGACACACTCTTGAACTTCCCTGTAATTTTTTTTCTCCAAATTCATACTCATTTTGTTGTGAAAAAATAAATTTTAAATTACTTATCTCATGATCTTTGCTTGGTTTGCAATCTTATTGCCTACTAGTTTTAGAATACAAGAAACAAGAAAAAGCATGTGTAGACTTGTAATGCAATGCCGAATTAATGTCTTCATCAAAATGGATTTGTTTATAATTTTTCTTAGATTAACAAAAAATGCTAAATTTCGTGTTTCTTTGATGAATTTTGTAGTTGTCTAATTATGAAGAGGACGTCAAAGAAATGGAAGGCTATTCCAAGGAAGAGTACATCGGATCATTGAGAAGGTAAACTTAACTAACCAATCATGTAATTATTGGTTAATCATGTTTAATTAATCAAATTACATCATTTTAATGTAGAAAAAGTAGTGGATTTTCTCGTGGTGTATCAAAATATAGAGGCGTTGCAAGGTAAATAGAACTTCAAAACAAATAGTCATATTAGACTAACTACAAAATTTTGAGGATTATTACGTATACAAAAGTTGTTGAAGCATGGATTTGCAGGCATCACCATAATGGGAGATGGGAAGCTCGAATTGGAAGGGTGTTTGGTAATAAATATCTATACCTTGGAACATACGGTATTAAATCCCATTTACCCTTCCTTTATATATATATATATTCCTTTGGATAATACTAATATTTTATGAAAATAGCAAATTCCAAGTTTAGTAAAATCCATTTTTAGCAATTTCAATTTCAAATCTTGAAATTTGGGATTAGTATAAAAAGTAGAGTTATTCTCTATTATCCTATTAATTGGGCTATTAATATACAAATACATAGACCATGACATGATTTCATATGCTTATTTTATACACAAATATAAAAATAGCAAAGAAGGTCACGATATGCATGAATGAAGTCAAACAAACAACTCCAAGATATTTTTTCTTGTCAACAACTCCAAGAAAATTTAAGTCACACACATGATAGATCTCATAGAAAATAAAAAAAGAATTCCAAAGAATATACATTAATATAAGGTATTAGACTATTAGTAATATAGTTTTGGGAGCATGATATATGGACTGATTGTTTATGAACCTTTATTAAGAGGGTAATCAAATCTTGTTGGTTGGGAACCAGATCACCAAACGTCCAAACCCATCTACTACCTCAAGCTATTTATTATATTGTTTTAGCTTTTTTAATTTCATCATCCAACTTGGCAAATCATTCCCTTACTATATATGTTTCCCCTTTTTGTTTTGTTTGTCGTCTCTGAAATTCACATGCATTATTAGATTTGAATTCAAATCATAATACGATAACGATATTAGTACAAAACTATTAAACTACATGTATCTCTATTGTTTCCCTATTACTTTTATTCACTTTATTTTTAAAATAAATAGAACAGATTTTTAACTATTCTTAACAAATTATTAGTGTATTTAAGGGCCCAATTTACTATTTCGAACCGCCCCTGAATAAATAAAGATGACTTCTAGACACAAGATGCATATCACTTTCCCGATTACTTAACATGCATATATTACTACATTAGGCAAATGTGTGATGGATATCCAAATAAGACAATGGAAAAGTTTAATAATAATGAAAAATACATATTTATACGAATGGCATGGAACTTCTGTAAAATTATGCTTTATATATACCCAAATGTTTTGATTTGTGACATTTTAAACCCTGCTCACGTGCAGCTACGCAAGAAGAAGCAGCCAGAGCATACGACATAGCGGCAATAGAGTACCGTGGACTTAACGCCGTTACCAACTTTGACATCAGCCGTTATCTTAATTTGCCGGCACCGGAAAACTCTAGCTCCGCCGCAAATCATCTCGGATCACCAGATGATCAAACTTCGTCAGAAGATAGCGACTTTCCGAAAACAGAGGAGCCATCTACGCCGCCGGAAACTATTCCACTTCGCCGGAGCTTTCCCGACGATATACAGACGTATTTTGGGTGTCAAGATTCCGGCAAGTTAGCGACGGAGGAAGACGTTATTTTCGGTGGTTTCAATTCTTTCATAAATCCTGGTTTCTATACCGAGTTTGATTATGGACCTTGATCGTAATTTTCTACAAGTTTTTTTTTGTTTGAATCCGAATCTGACAATTCTATCATAAAGTTCTCAACTTTATTCACTTACATTGTTCATACTGTTCTTGAGGCTACTGCCTATTGATCAATGAAGTTGTAAAGGTAGCAACTTTTATTATAAAAACACAACAAACATTTCAGATAGTTCTTTCAAATCCAGAATTTGGTAATGAAGAACCATGTCGGAGACACATTCTCAATTCATCAATGCATCTGCTAATGGAAATGTCGGAGATATGTCTACCGGTACCTGCAAAAACACGAACAAAACAAGAACGCGGATCATTCTATTTGTGAACAATGTCGAAATCTCGAGCCAATTTTAGTGTTTTATTACAATGTACCTTAACGCTTTCGAGCTTCTCCAGAGCGGTTTTCAATGGTCCGGTGATAGTGCAGTATTTATCTAGAAGCGATGTTGCTGCGTTTTTGTCACCTCTTCCTTGAATTGTGAGTATCTCATGGCTCAAACTCTCAACGGCACCTTCTACCTTTAAATGCGTAAAGACAATATTCAGGAACTTTCGAGTTTCGCTATGAAGAATCAGAAAGTTCTCAAGGAAGAAAACAAGAACTTGGATGGATACCTTAGCAAAATCAACCGAGAATGTAGAGTCCTTTTGGAAAACAAAGGCTCCTTTCTCATATAACCAGTTGAACTGCAACGCTTGCCCTTTCCTGAAGACGAAAGAGAGAATGATGTCAGTAGCTATACATATAGGAGGTTGGATTATACAAGGCAGAGAGTCTCTATATCATTCATTTACCCATGAGCTTCGGTGAGACCAAACCGGATGGATCGAAAACATCCAGCTAGGAAAGAAACATACATACTCTCCACCATACTCTTGGAAAGCAAACCCTGAGTTGATTCACATACAGAACCAGAAACATTGGTCCAATTGTAAGACAATTTGACTCTGAGATGAATCAAGGTATTGCAAATTGGAATTCAATGAGTAAATTTCTGAAGATGAGTATTAACCTTGGTGATGAGAAACTTCAGTGCCCAGAGACCAACTATGTCTGCCTTTGCTTCTTCCATTGCAGAATGGACTTCTTGTAGTTCCTATACCAAAGGAAATACAGAGAAAAGGAAGATAAAAATTACTAGTCACAGGGAAAAAGATTCTTAATTAGATGTCTTGGATTCTTGGAGAAAGAAGTAAAACCTTTCTCACTGTAGAGGTTTGACCATCAGGAAGCGTTATGGTATGAGGACCAATGCCATGACAACATTCATGGCAAATGGTGTGAGTGAAGAAAGAATCAAAATCGACAAATTTTCGCTGTTCCTTGCTGATGACAATTTCAGCTATAGGCTTTAGAATATGTTCAAACCTGGGAAAGAAAATGATTAGTAACGTAATTGTGACACCGTTTCTAGATGAAACATGGACGAAGAAGGAATATTACTTTGCCTCCGAAATGTTTTTGAGCATAACCATTGATGTTCCTCTGTCTTTGACGATTTTTTCATCGTTTGGCAAATTGAAAGCAACGGTCTGAGGACCTTTCACATCCT